CACTACAGTATTCAAGAGTGGCGAGGCATCAAGTCAGCAACTTACTCTTAAACGGTTGAAGAGTAAAAGGTTTTCCAACCTTTCAGTAAGTTTGTGACTGTTTCAAAATACATAGTTTTGAGTTCTTCAGATCCAAATAGTGGTAAAATCAGTAACCTTTTCCTGAAAACTAGTCATTCTGCATGAACAGGAGCTCCCTTCCCAATTTTTTAATGAGAAAAATAATAATGCACATGTCAACTCCAAATTTCCAACCAATTTCCTAAAATGACAAAAACATGAAAAATTAACCATGTACACATAACAAGCTACCATGTTTCTATCTAAAATGCTTAAAACATAGTTTTCTGGTCACTGAACAATATGGTTTCAATAAACATTAGCTTTGTGTATAGTAGCATCTTCTTGTCAATCATAATCACTCTCTTACTTGCTTTGTTTCTTTCTCCACGATTTTCTTCAGTGTGTTCTGATCTGGCAGGGGAGTCATAACATTCCATGCAAACCAAGGGCTACACATGAAAGATTAAATGTGGTGAAAAAGCCTTTAGGGCAAACATATAATAGTTGAGAAAGGTTCATGTTGAGTATTAGGTGTGATATCAAGACACCTATCCTGTTTTTGACACTGGGAGCATTTGTAAAAATGTCAGTGATTCTAATGTTCTGTGTATTTGGATCAAGACTTTTCCTATAGATCATGCTGTTAAAATGTGACATCAAGTTTGAGGGACATAAATATTTTTCCCAATATTAAACTGGCTGAAAATGATAATATCAAGAGACCCTATATTACATGAACTTTGGCTATTAAAAGTCAAGAAGAATCATCAGAGAAATGAAAATCAAAACCATAATGATGTATCATCTCCTATCCATTAGGATATCAATATGAAAAAAAGCAGCAGTCACAAGTGTTGGTGAGGCTGTGAAACTGAAAGCCCTGTGCACTGTTGGTGTGGAGCTGCTAATGGAAACAGTGTGGTAGTTCCTTGAGAAATTAAAAATAGAATTATCATATGATTCAGCAACATCACTTCTGGGTATATATCCAAAAGCACTGAAAGCAGGGTCTTGAAAAGATATTTGTGCACCAGTATTCACAGCAGCATTATTCACAGTAGTCAAAAGGTAGAAGCAACTCAAATGTCCATCAGGGAGGAATGGATAAACAAAATGTGGTATAAACATACAATGGACAGCCTTACAATGGAAGGAAGTTTTGACACAAAACAGCGTTAAAAAGGAAAAATGTAGCCTTAAAAAGGAAGGAAATTCTGACACATGCTACAACATGGATGGGCCTTGAAGCCATTACGAAATAAGTCAGTCACAAAAAGATGAATACTGTATGACTTCATTTACAGGGAATCTAGAGGAGTCAGAGTCATAGAGACAGAGTACAATGGTGGATCCCAGGGACTGCGGAAGAGGGGGAAAGGGCAGTTGTTGTTTGATGGGTTTATAGTTTGTTTTGCAAAACGCAAAATAAAAGTTCTGGAGATTGGTGCCCCAACAATGTGAATGCACTTGACACTACTGACCTGTACAGCTAAAAATGGTGAAGATGGTAAATTTCATTTCACCACAATTGGAAAATAAAAAAATAAAAAAGGAGCTCTGCTAGGAATTCCTTAACCAGGGACATGTTCTGCAGGATGTGCCTGTACTTCCTTTCACTGCTGGGGCAAACCCAGGGCTGGGCGACGGGATAATGCCAAGTCACTATGCTACCCTGACAGCTCGTCAAGAAGGTGAAGTCTGTCATGTCTTTTGTTTATCAACTTAAATCATTCCACGGGAGGGGGGTGTGATGTTTGTCCCTTTGACTTCCCCATGATATGTATGCCCACACAATGTCAATAGAATGCTTTAAGTTATAATATATTCACATATGTGTTTCTTCCATCTAAAGCCCTTTCCGCAGGTGTAACTCAGATTGTTCAAGACTCGACTTAGTATTGTTGTCTTCTTACAAGTACTCCTAAATCCAGCGGGATTAATTATATGGTCTTCCTCTTAAGCCCTGTTGTACACCAAGCACTAGCATCTATCACACTATTTACCCCACTTTATTTTAATGGTTGGTTTCTTGCATGCCTCTCCCTCTCTACACAGACCATGAGTTCCTTTTAAGCAAGAAATGTCTGACTTTTCAGCTCTAAATGTCCACTCATACAGCTGAGCTCAGCGACCAAATGTGCTCAGTAAACACCTGTTGTTTGTAACCTGGCCCTGTATTTACATTGAATGGAATGGATTTTCATTTTGACTTTATGAAAGCAAGCAAGCTATTGTCATTCCCACCCTCAAGTCTTTCTTTGGATTTTTTTTGACTCTGACTTATATCCAAAAGAAACACGCAGGATGAAGCATCATTTACTAACAGATTATTTTACTCTGACATTGAATGGGTACTAGCAGAAGGTTACAGGAGAAAGTTTAATTACTGCAGATTCCTGGATCAAGAACCCAGAAAGCAGGGTAAGAAAATTAGTTTTTAGTCTATCCTAATATTTTGCCTGAAAAATTGGTGGAAGACAACAAAAGTAACACAGCTGACTCAGCAGGTTCTACGTGTGCATTTTCAATAAATGGCATATTTGAAACATTACTTTTATTTTTATAGCTGATCTGTAAGGGTAAGTGGGTGAGTGTATCTCTAAGAAACTAAACTGACACAGAAGTGAATGGTCTTGTGATAGTTTTGAAAATAAGGAGGAGGGATGGATGGTAGAGAGTCTGACTTGCACAAAGGGTTACTGGAAGATAACCTTCAGGATAGTATTTGAAGAGAGAAAGTGGTAACAGAGTCAATTTTGAAGGAAGTATTGTTTTCATTAATAGACATGGTTTTAAAACACCTTGGTTGAGAATTAGTGGATTAAGTGTCATTAGTTACATGATTTAGCATAACTTCCAATGTGAAAAATACATTCATTTCTCAATATAACTAAAATAATCTTAGCCAAAGGACTAGAATTATTTGTATGCACACAGAGCAACTATTTCTTAATTAAACGTGAAAATTCTGAGATTACTGTATTGCTCTTTGCACATTCCATACACAAAATTTAAAAGAAGGGATTATGTATCAGGCATATAAGTTGATAGCTAGAATTTAAAGGCAAGTAATATGTCGAAGGAGAGAGAGATTAAGACAGATCTTATGTTCTCTTCAAACCAATAATACTAGAAACTATTAATTGATGTTCACAAAGATGACTTGAGGTGCAAAGTATCTTGAAGGGCTTTCTAAATGAATACATTAATAAAATAAGGAAATAGTATTTCCCTGTATGTGGTTAATACAGAGTAGTTGATACAGACAAACAGAACAGCATACTTTAAGCACAAATCAGATGTTCAGTAATTACTGAATGTAAATAACAATCTTTAATCAACCAAACATGCTAAGCTGACTAGATCAAACTTCTCAAAACACAGATTCTCACATTAAAAAAAAAAAAAACGAATCTGCCACTGACCTAATTTATTCTTATCTAATAAAGAAAAATAGACTTTAAAAATGAAAGCAATTACAAATCCTAAGATATATGCAGTTTTCTGTGACTACAAATGAGAATGCAGTGTATTTTGAGATTTAAGGGTTCCACAGGATATTTCAAAGGAGACTTCTTACAAATACCACAGGGGTTCTTTAATGGTTAAAAGATTCAGAAATTAGATGGAACAATAAAGCAGACAGTAGATCTTACATCCCAAGAAATGAGTAAAATTTATCTTCAAAGAATTTTCCTGTCTTAGTCTCTGTTTAATGAGTTCTTTTAAATCTTATTTCCGCATTGCATTACTAATCTACGACCCCTTACCTTCTCAGTTTCTTTTCATTAGCACTAAGAATCTGCAGTCACTGCTCTTAGAATTGTACTCATCAGATCTAATTTAAAGAATGCTTTTCTTGTAACAATAATTCAATCTTCTTCCTCCATAATCCTTTTTTTCAGCTGTATGGATAACTGGGAGTTTATGATGGTACTCAAGCAGTATCAATATTGTCTGAAATCAAACTATGCCTGTAAAAAAAGATTTAACGGTTTAAAAATACCACATATGCCTGAATATGTTATCTTTTCCCCTAAAATTACTCCCATTGAAAAGAATACGGAGACTATTCTGAAGACTTAAGCCATGCTTTGAAGGAAAGTCTTCAGGAAAGAAATTAGCTTGAAATGACCTCAACCAAAAGTAATTTTTTAGATACATACACAGATTTAAAAGCATATATCTCAAGGAACTTTGAAGCGAGAATGATATGCTTTGGAAAACTGTTGTAGGGCTCAAAAAGGTCTGTTGATGTCAAAGACACTGATGTCAAAGATGCATGAAAGGACATTCAGTGATACTGTTCTCTGAGTTAAGAAGAATAATTTAAAGTATTTTTATATAATACACAGTCGACATTTACACATTTCATTTATATCTCTAAAAGTTTATATACTTCAGTTTACCAAAAAACTTATGATGAGGAATCTTCTCATTGGGGAAATGGGAGTATAGCTTTGTATTTGGCTACATTCAGAACTCACGTTTTAAATGCACTTTTACATTATGTAAATTAACAAAAGGCAGAGAAATATAATTAAAATGCACAAATATGAAAATCAGTTTGATTACCTCCTCAAAGAGCTCCCCCCTACCATGAACATCTCAGTTTGTGTATCATCCTGCCACTCTCTGTTCCACTACTTGGTTTTGATTTTTATACGTCACTTCTCATGATGTGAAATGAATTACTTACATCTTTATTACTTGTCTCTCTTGACTGGAATGAAAACTGTGTGAGGGCAGAGGCCTGTCCTACGAAACTCCAGGCAGGGATGCAGTTTGTCAGAATCAGGGGAAAGGAAGGAAGGAGATGAAGGCAAAAGCAGCTGGAGTGGAAGGAGCCCTCCAGCAGTTTACCTAGTCATCTAACACCGTCAGTCCTTCCTGGGTGCTTTTGTTTGCAATGAATATATGTATAAAGCAAGGACTATCCGTATATTTGCTCACTAGTCAAGAAACACGAAAGGAAAAAAAATCCTCTGAAATAAGAAGTACTAGAAGGAATTCAGTTTATTCAGATAGTTCTTCAAGTTCCAGAACAATATTTACAAACAATCAGGGTTTTTTTGTTTATAATATTTGGTCAAATTTTAATTTGTTCTATCAGATTTTAAAATGTAACTAAATATTCATTTTTTTCATTGTATTTTTTCAAGAAATTAAAACTCTTGAAATAAAAATATCACTCAGACAATATCAACAGAATCTGAAAGTTGTTTAATGGAAGCATCCTTAATTAGAACATTTAACTTTTGGTTTACCTCATAGAAACATTTTTAATAAATTTGTAACATCTCTCCATACCACACATAAAACAAACAGCTGAAGCAAAGTCATTCTTTGAATAACAGTTACTATTACTGCCTTAATATCTGTTCAGGAGTTCTGAATTTTATAGAATATTACCAAATAAAACAACTGTCTGGACAAAAAAATACACATTATTTTGATACTGCTTTAACTCTATAGTATTTTTCTAATTCCTATTTCTCTCAGCTGCAGTTCTTTACTTGACTTTCCCCCTTTAAGATATGTTTGTTAGAACCCTGAAGTACTCTGAATTCCATCCTATTTGGTTAATGTGACTAAAGAGGCTTATCCTGGGGGATCTTAGTTTTTTTCTAAATTGAAAAAAATTAGTTACTCTACAATAAACTTGGCTGAATCACATTCTCTTTGGATACCTGTACTAGATAATAACATAAATAGTTTGCTAACATAAAAAGGTTATGAAAACACTGAAGATTTGCTGGCTAGCTGTTTAGATGTAGCCAATACAATCTCTCGTTACAAGAGCTTGAGAAAGTCTATCCAGTTGTACGGGATCTTTCTGACTTGGATCTTACAGAAACCAGGAATGGCTGTTGGGCAGAAAGGCTGCTGAAGACCACGGTTAACACACTACAGCTCTGTTGTTTTATGATGATTGTTATTAAGACATTTTTTAGTTTTGTGGAATGCTGAAAGGGATAATAAAATCTATGCTCACAACATTAAAAAACTTCTATTTGTGCTGCATTATTTAAATTACTGCAATACCACTAAGCTAACGGCATAAACTAAAGACATTATTCCCTAATATTAACTACAAAATCATTAAAAGAACTACTTAAACTGTAAAATACAAATACAAAGGAAATAATCATGTGAAAAGGGCTCTTGCTGGAAAAAGTTGTTAAATGTGCTTTAATTTCAATATAACGAACTAAAATTGCTTCAAACATTAAACTTTTTTTAAATCTCTACTCAAGGACAAATAAACACTGAAAATACACAAACCGAGTTCTCTATTAAAATATACTTTCCAAGTAAAAATTAGAAAATATTAAAATGAAAGGATTTTGTCACATTAGACACAAATTTTAAAGTACATAAAGTGTTAAGAATTATAAAGTTACTGGTCTAATGACCAATCCAAGTAAAAAAAAATCCTACTTTAAGTCAAATGACAAAACACTATCATAAACATTGTATTAATATATCAAAAACAAAAATCTTGTTTTAAAGATTTTACTACTGTCTCTTTCCTTTATCATATTAAATGCTATATTTACTCTTCTTACTCCATTAGAATAATCCCAAAGAAAATCCTTATATAACTGTAATAGCTGTGATAGCAACATTTCAAAAAATAACCTTCACAATGTTGTTAATATTTCTGATGGCTAGGTGGGTGCTGAAAATAGCCTGGTACAGAGTTCACTAAAATAACTGCATGGAAATTATTCTGGTATTTCAGATGTCAGAAATTGATTTCTTATTGCATTATGTGATACACTGTTGCATTTAAGTATTTTATAAAGGGCTAAAAGGTTTATTTCTCCTACCACATTTACACATATTTAAAAATGTTAAAATTTAAAAAAACATGTAAGTAAGAAATTCTTGGAAAAACTTGTTAAATCTCCTTTATTTCAGTAGACAGAAGGCTATTTTCAATGTCCTGGCTGAAAGGGTTCTTGTTGCCATGACGCTGGAAGAAAAAAAGCACAAAGATTTGAGATAAGTTAATGATGCAGGCGAACAGTACGTAATAGGATAGTGGAAAGAACCGAGCTCAGTTAGAGCCAAAGAGATCAGAGGTCAAACTGCACATCTGCCCTTTACTAGCCATGGGATCCCAAAAAAGTTACAGTGTTTAAGGCTCTCCATATGTTCATCATTATAGCAGCAACAACAATATATTAATCAAATTAATCAAAAAGGAAAATGCACAGTCATATACCACCCCCCCATCCCCACTTCTACTTCTTTCTCTCCTTCTTTAGTTTTTCTTCAGGTTCTGTTTTAGGTGAAAAATTTCCAGCCCTATTTAAACTCATTTGCTGGGGCAGGGAGGGAAGGAAAAGATCCACAGATAATTACATCACCATCTAATACTCATATGTGAGAAATGCACACAAAAAGTATTATGGAAGCACAAGAGGAACTGTCACATGGAAGAACAGAGAGAAGTCTGATGTGGCTTGAATACAGAGGTGAAGTGGTGGGAGATGAGGCTGTATGGGCAGGACTGTGAAAAGCTCTGCATTCCAAGCTAAAGTATTTGAATTTTATCCTATAATTTATAGGGCACCAGTGGCAACTCCAATGGAAAGGTGCTGCTGGGATGAGGTTTCTTAATAAGAAACAGAACTATGTTAACAGGCTGCTTCTTGTCCAATTCAGATACATGAATAAATTAATTCAATTAATTTTTTTCTACTCAGTCTGTAAGAGAATCCAGGATTGAGAAACAACTTAATTTAAAAGAAATTCTCTGCTTAAGATATTATGAGATGATTAACTTTACAGTACATTTTACCTTTGCTGGCAGAATATTTGGGTGTTAATGGATAACTAGTTTTTACAGAATTATTGTTTTTAAATTTTGCTTTAACTCAGTGAATATACATTTCATTTTAATTTAACAAAATCTATATTCTAATCATGATATTTTACAAATAGAATTGTGTTTAAGAGAAAAAAATTTCAGGTTCTAGTGGCAAACTACCAAATTGTTCTATCAACATATTTCAATTAACTCCATTCACCTATGCCAAGATACTGTATTAGAATACCAAGAGAAAGGTGGTTTTATCTGATTGAAATTTCTTCTTTCACCTTGTTTTTTTTAACTCTATTTTTTCTCCATTTACCAAAAAATGTATGCTTATAATAAGAAATCTAGAAAATAAAGAACAATGCTCTCCATATACCCCCAATTTTATCACTCACAGTGAGACAAGTTAAAATGTATTTCATTTCAGTATTTCTGTGCATTTTTTTATTTACATGGGTAAATTTATATGATATAGTTTTAAAAACTGTCATTAAAATTTTTATAAACCCTTAATGGTTGCATCATATTTCATGGTATGGATTAATTATAATTTACTTTATTATTCCCTGAACTTGGATTTTACTGAAGAACATATTAGTGATTATCATCTTTTTTTTCAATCTTTAGCAACTAGATTTCCACTGACAACATAATTCAACTCTGCCTGATATTTAAATGATCCTAAAAATGTGCACAGATAAATATGCTATATATCACTTACTGTACATTCTATGTACATAAATGTACAAAGACAAAAGTGAAAACTCAACGAAGCAAGTATTAAAACTTGTGAAGCTCACCATAAGTCCAAGGAACCTCTGGAAGCACACCTGAATCAGGAGAGTAAGGGTATGCAGCTGGTGGTACCGGTTGATAGGAAACATACTGTGAAAAAACTGGCTGCTGAAAATTGTAAGAAACAGGCATTTGAGATTGAAAATACCCATTCATTGGCATGAAGTAATTTGTTTGTGGTTCCCCGGCAAAGTAACCAAAATATTGAGAGTACAAAAGATCAGAATATGTACTGTGAACAGTGCTTGCAGCTGCAGTCAACATCCCAGAAGGAGGTGGCTGCCCTTCATAGGATGTTATCCCCTGGTATGTCTGGGTGATGGAACTGCCATCGCTGCTGCTGTACTGATAAACAGACCAAGCATAGTAAGGATACGAAGCTCCAAACGAGTGTGCAGAAGAATTATATGTTAGGGTACATGCAGACTGTGGAAGTTCATGCCAATATGTGGCAGCATTCTGAGTAGAGACTTCTGAATTTTCATTTTTCTGTTGTTCTACTGTTTGATTCACATTAAGAGTTATGTCCTTAGGTGTTTCAACAGGTACAGTATTGGGATTCAATGTATCCTTCACATATTTTTCTTTTGACTCAGGCTTTGCAGGTTGTGTTTTATTTATTTGCAGAACAGGAATTTTGTCCTGGATAAGTATGGGTTCTGGAGAACTGGAACATGTAGAACTTTTAAT